CTATGATTCTATGATATGCTGGTGGCACTTCTGTATACCTCCAAGAATGTAACATAAATCCAGTGACCTGCAACATCTTGCAATATTTCAAATAAAATAAGAAATGCAGAGAACTTTACTAAACTCTTTGGCTTTGGCAGAGCTTTTCTACTTTCCAACTTTTTTTCAACTTTTCATCCACTTTTTTTCTGTTCCTGCTCAATGCCTGAGAAATGCTAAGGCAGGATTCAGTACAAAAAGAAGCCAAGTACGTAATGTAAATTCCATTCAGACTGTGACAAATAGATATTTCCCCTTCTTTTATAGCAACACTTGGTAGTCCCTAGTTCTTCGATGTTCATACCTAAGCAGTGTGCTGCTCTGTACTTGTCAGGCAAGGTACACCTTCAAAGGGTGAATTTCTTCCCTGAAAGATTTACAGCAAATAGTTTACTTCCAAGTTGTTGTTTTTTAAGCCCCTGTTCCTCAAAATAAAATACTCCTTTCTCATCTCCTAAAGAAAGGTCAGGTTCATAATGGAAAAGCCTCACTAAGAAATCGTGTAGATAAGTGATTACTGAGAAGAGCACATAAAATACTGCCTTTCCTTACACTTTGTATAATATCAGTTCAAGACCTGTACAGAATTCTTAAAACCTTTTTTGATGCTTCAAGGAGTGCACAGTTTCAAAGCTGACCTCTGAAACTGAAACCTTCAGTCTATGTCCACACTTCTGTGCACAGAAAACTCAGAGACTTCGTAAGACACATCTCCACCAGCAGGACCACTGCCAAGAGCTCAAGCTCCTTTTGAATGGGGCTGTCAGACAGCAATGACTCCCAGGAATGAGTAAGTCCTACTTGTCTGCTCTTTCCAAGTTGCTTAAACACACAGCCATTTTTTAAAAATCAAATTTAAAAGCCATTTCAAAAATCAAATCCATAGTTTGCCAATTTGATTTTTTGGAAATGAAACAAAAGGCAGCCCAAATGGGGTGCTTTTCAATAAATCCCCATCAGCAGTTTGTGCAAATGGTTAGTCTTATTCTATACAAGCCGTGAGTGAATTATCTTGGCATCAGAGAGGCTGAAAGCTTCAGTGACAAGTTTACTGACGTGACTTCAACCTGTCAGTGCTATATCCTTTTAGCACGTGGCAGCAATACTCAGGTTGCTACTGAGGGCAAAGTGATGAAAACTGAACCTCTATGAAAATACAACCGGTGTGCTCAATTTAAAAGCCATTATTTCTACAACTGCATTATGTGTTTATGAGACACCCTCACCCACACAGGTAGCCCCACCTCACATACAGGTGAGCACAGCATGAAAGGTATGCACAGACACTGCAGGTGCTTACCGACATGTGCACACTCAGTCAACAACTAAACCAGCATTTGCATCCCAATTACTTTTCCTCGCCCCTCTCACTTCTACTCACCTGATAAATTTAACAGCCAAGCCCAAATCTGCTATACAGCACGTGCCGTTCTTTTTCACCAGGATATTCTTACTTTTGAGGTCACGGTGGGCAATAGCGGGTTTGCCCTGAGTACTGAAGATCTCAGTGTGCAGGTGGCACAAGCCACTAACAGAGGAGTAAGCCAGTTTTAGCATGGCTTTTGTGTCCAAGGTAGTAGATTTTAAGTAATCATAAAGTGAGCCGTTCTCATGGTAGTCAGTGATGAGATACAACTGGGTCCAAGATCCTGTACCTTTAATGTCTGCAGCAATGAATCCTGAAAAGAAAAAAAGGATTTTCAAATTAATACTTCTCAGGGCTTTTTTTTGACTGCTCAAGACTCTGGACTCTCAGCCACTCCAATAGCTTTATTTAAACAAAATATTTAATTTCTTTCATCTCCATGAAAGTTCATTCCATGCAACCATGCCTCCTCACCTCTAGCCTTTAACATGTTTTCAGAAAGCCCAGATATGGAAATACAGGTGGCAGAAACAGATGTATGGTGTTTGGAGTAATAGCCCCCAAACCCCATTATTTTTTCACTTTTATTTATGTTTCATTAATCCTTGAAACATCTTTCTTTTGAAAATTGCTGGGTAGCTATTTGCAGAGTACAGCAGGTAACAGCGCATCAGAAAGGGCATCAGACAACAGCAAATACAAAAATGATTAAACTTAATAAACCTGTACACTATCAAATAATTCTCCTTAATTTGACTCACCAAGAATATTTTCATGCCTCATCAGGACGGTCTGGTAGATTTCTGTTTCTCTGAACCAGCTGGCCTCCTCCGTGGTAAAAAACACTTTCACGGCTACCTTTTCACCACGCCACTTTCCCATCCAGACTTCTCCGTAGCGACCTTTTCCAATCTGTTTTACCATCTGAATCTGTTTTGCGATGGTCCTTTGAACCTGGGAAATGCCAAGATGGGTGGTTACAACTTGCTCTGCAGGCATGTTCTGTATTCGCCTCCCTCCTGTGTCTCCTTCCCACAAAGCAGGCCTACTGGAAAGCCATATACTCAGCCATCCCAACACGGATTTCTGCAAAGCTCCACAGTGTGGATGCTCTCCATTTCCCCTGGGACAGAGTGCTGGTGAGGCCACTCCTGCCACTGTGAAGAAACCTTTCCATACATTCCCAAAATACACTGTGGCCACTCAAGAAAGTAAATCTCTGTGTGTAGGAAACATTTGGCTACTAACCTTGAAATTTTTATTTCCCTGTGGGATGTCACCACTTTATGGAATTTTTTTTGTGGCTGTTGTTGTTATTTTTGGGAAAGCTTTGGCAGAAAACAATCCTGGCCACCCCAACCCAACCCAAATAACAAAAAGGTAGGTAACACATTTTTCATTAAAGTGGGGATGTTTGTTACATACTCAACACAGTTGAGACTCAAAGCTAGGGCCCACAAGAGCCCAAAGCACAACAGTGCTCCAAAATTAGCAACATTACAGAGATAAGTTTCCTTGCAAATTCACATTCCTTGAAAATCATATAATAATTCAACAATAACTTCAAAAAATAGATTTGGTGTTAGGAACCTCAACCACTACTTACACAGTTAGAACCCATGTGCCTACGCTAATTTTAATAATGATGATTACACAGCAGTAAAAAGAAAGAAAGAGAGAGATATGGAAGCAGAGCTTTAATCTGCCCTTTCTAGTGCCCACACCAGCTTTGCCAGTGACTGTATTGTGAACGAATGCTAAAATCAATCCAATTCTGCAGCTGTAGCATAAGGTCAAGGTACTCAGCAGCAGCGCAGAGATACCCTTCGTAAGGATGGCAGATCCCACGTAGCAGATGGATTGATTCTACATTTAACAAGCTTTTATGACTACAAGAGATCTTGGACAAATGGAGACTAATACATTCTCACAGGATAAGTGCATGTCTGCAGATCACATATTTCTAAAAGTTCACGAATAAAAACTCAAGTAGATGTTGCAACACAACCCACTGGTGGTTATGGCTGACTCAGCCTCACCCTAGTATAACAGGAGATTAAAATGTCACCCATCTGTGCTTCAGAATTGCTAGTTCAATCCACAGAATCCATGATTCTGAGTTTGGTAGGATTTTACAAGATTTTATCCTTCAATGCAGTTTTTCACCTGACCCAACTGGCAAAATCTAGTCAAGTGCAAATATACAAGGTCTCCTGCTTTTGCCACCATCCCTATACAAATTTCAAGCAGTTTATTGCAGCAAGCGTGCATTGTCTGAATTTCTATGAAATCATATGCATTTAATGTAATCCCAAATATTTTTGAAATCTTGGCTAACAGAAATGATCAAAAACTTGATTTTAAAAATCACTTGCTGCCTTTGTCATCCCTGGGATAGCAGCCTGCAAGTGGAAACTACCAGCTTGGTAATGCAGAGCAGGACTGCCACAACCCCACTGCAGCATGAACATATGCCCAAGGATTAACTCAAAACCTATTAGGTAAAGCCTATTATAATTTATTTTCTAAATAAATTACTCATTTTCATATTAAACAATTTAAAGAAGAAAAACATACAGTCACATTTATGCAAAGCTATTTCAAGAGAGACAGATTTATTCTTCTGTGATTTAAACAAATTCTGTTTTTTCAGCCCTGCAATGTATTATTAGACTTCCAAGATGGTGGCTTCAGTGCCATTAATTTTGATTAACATCAGTGAAACCCAAGAACAAAGATTAGCCTTATTTTTTTAAGCTGATTTCTTCTCTTTTATACTCTCATATAGTGATTGAATGATAGTTATATTACATTGGAATTTTGCTGTAACATTTTGTAATATCATTTTAGCATTGTTGCTTTCTATTTTGCCCATTTTAAAAATGCATCCTGAACAATAATGCAGTTATATCAAATAACTTAATTTGCGTAAATATATGTAATGGCATCATAAAGTACATGGAATTACAATACTTAATGATGAAAAGTTCCTTATTAAATTACATTAAGAAAATGAAAAACACATTTCTGTTATAGGTTTTCAGGCGGCAGAATACTCTGTGAAGGGCCTTAACCTGGTTTCCTCTTGCTAGAACTGGTCAAATGATTTCCTATGAACAATTTATTTTATTTTAAGGAATTTAGCCTTTTCTTGAATCATAAATTGATTACGATTCCCAGAACAAATCAGTTAATCAAAATTGCTGGATAGACTGATTTCATAAGCATGCTGAATAATGTGTTCATGTGAATTATTTACACTGACTGGGGTTGGGGTTTTTTTTCTTTCTTTTCATATCTGTGTATTTTGCTGCTTGAGCTCTGTAAGCAACCAGGTAAGGTTACACAGGCCTTTGTTTCCTCTCCCTGACTGGGATCAATCCAGTTACCAACTATTTCTACTTTCCCCATTCTATTTTTCTGATATTCAGTCTAAATGTGTTCAGCTACTGCAGAAGAAAATTCAGACAAACCAACCTTTTGTAATTTCAATATTTTGAATAGAGAACTTGATACCTGGGCTGGATGAAGTCCTTTGAAAAGCAAAATTCATTGGAAGAGGAATTAGGAAAAAAATATGTGAAGAGGTAGAGACCAAACTGTAATTCAGCAAACCTTTCATACAGACCACTGAAAGAAACATCCCCAGCATCTAATCTCCTTCGCCGATTTTCCACGTGGATTCACGGGGACAACAGCTCCACCTACACTTCTTGCTCTGTCAAGGCCAATGAGGTTCTCCTTGCTTGCACAGATTTGATTGTGCACCCCAGTTTGTTGGCTCAAAGGCCTTTATTTACAACTTTTTTTTTTTTCCCTTGGTTTAAAATTTGATTGGCAGCATTTGACCTGCAACAAACTTTTCTGTCAGAGGTACGAACAGGTCAGAAGACAGAACCTTTGCTGAAAGTCAAACTATTGATAAAATCTTGGTTAATGCTTGGTTTTGGTATAATATTTGTACCCATTAGAATAAAATGTTCTGCATAGAAGGAAAACATCCCTGTTTAACATAAAGTGACATTTCATAATAAATTTGCAGCTTGCTTTCCTAACATAGTAACTTCAGATGTTTCAGGCTTTGCATAGGAAATAATACAGTTAAAACCAAACTCTTCCACAGTAAAGTCTAGAGCATTATTGCCAGGCAGTTTCTATGTACTTGCTTCAGGCATGGGCCCAGGGGTCTTAATCTGTGCATTTCTAGTGAGCCTGTAGCTGCCTGGGAAACAAAGCAAGCATCTATTGCTAAGCACAGGAATCATTACAGCTCTCATTTTTCTTCTGTTCCACAGAAAATTAATACTTAAAGGCAAAGTCTGGGAAATAAAAAATATGCATTTTCATAGGCAAAGAGAGAGGGGAAGAGAGTGCCTTCAGGAGGAACACCTGGCTCAGTGGCTGCAAAGTCTCCAGGCTTGAAAGAGGAGAAGGGACAACTGGCAGAAAACAGGACAGTTTCTGCTTCACAGAGCGCTGGCCCAGCTTTGAGAGCTACTGAGTGATGACCCAGTTGAGATGACACCTTGGCCATTACCGCAGTTAATTCGCAGAAGTTAGTTTTTCTGTCCGCTGCAAGTGTAGACCTAGGGACACCAGTAAGACCCTAGATCCCATCTTCAACCAGCCCACTGGGTTAGAAGAAGGCACAAAGCACTAGCAGTCACAAATAGCATTGCTCCAGCTCTTTTGTCTCAAGGGCATCCTGGGATGAAGTATCGAGCCATGCGCTGCTACGAGATGCCCCAGCACACCTGCTACCCACGTGGACTGCTGCAAACACGTCTGTCAGGTTAGAACAACCAAGCTCCTTGTGTTTGCTCTAAATTATTTTATTATTTCTGTCACTGTAACAGGTAGGAGCACAAAGCACAGACCAAGACCATGATGTGGCAGGGGTTACACCAAAAAAAAAAAAAAAAAAAAAAAAAAGGAAAAAAAAAAGGAAAAAAAAGAAAAAAAAAAAAAAAAAAAAAAAAAGAGAAAAAAAAAGGCAAGAACCCTTCACAACAAAATTAATTGGAAGCATTCATTAGGAATGGTCCTAACATGTAAGTGTGATTCCGCCCTTACCATGGCTGCTGGAGGGACAATGGTTTGGGACATGACAGAGTCTTCTCAAAGACAAAATGACAGAGTTTACCTCAGTAGAGAAAAATGACCATGGTTTTTCCATGCTCAGCACCAGTCATAGCACTCATTTGGCAGCTTGGCTTTTTTTTCTGAATAGTATCTTAATTGTCAGAAAATGGATTTTTAAAGAAGTCAACGCTTTATGTAAATGGGACTCTAAGCACTTCATACCTTCCAGAACAAATTGAGTGTGGTCAGATTTTTGCCAACCACTCACCCTGTTGCTTCATTTTAAGAAACTCTAAAATTTCCCATTTTATTTCTTTTTTTTAGGGTGTAGAAAAAAGATGTATGGGCAAAAACCAGATACATGGAACATAGTACTTGGAAACTGGACAAAATCTACAGTAATAGGATCACTAATAATATACAAACTAATAGGTTTGGGAGACAGGAGAGACGTATCATCCCTGAAAAATGAAAATGAAATCTAATTCATTTTCTCAAAGGCAATACATTAAATTAGTAACATGGATTTTTTTTTTTTTTTCAGTGCTAAAAAGTAACAATGATCCCCAGAAACAAAATCCCCTGGTGAACAGAACTTCTGCCTTTTCAGCAGGTAAGCTCAGGGGCTCAGTCATGCTACAATAAGTTCAGAAACAATCACAAACTCCATCCCTGTGCCCTTTAACCTTTGAGATGGCCACACTACAAGGGAAAAATAATTTGCTCTTGACTTCTGAATGCCAACTGGTGTCTACACATACAAAGGTTCCAGGCTTGATGAATTACAGTTCCCTTTACATAAAGGCAATGTGTCAGTGTTTGAAATGTTATGGTGTGTTGCACATAAAAAGCAAGAAAATAAGATCAGTAGGCCAGATGCTACCCAGTACACTGGGGTACATCCTGATGAATTTCTGTGATATCCCTTAGCCTGTACTTACCCTGTGGTACCTAAAATAAGACATGAGCTGAGGTTAAAAAAAAAAAGAAAAAACCAAACCCAAAACCTAAGTTTTTTTGGCTTAGTCTACATGAAAAAAAGTCTCCTGCTTCTAAAGCAGCTTTCTCCATCTTAATTCCTTCTCATCTCTGTGAGAGAAAAAGAAACCCCAAACAATACATATGAATATCATTTAGCATGTCTCATTTTGTCTTCTTCCTCTACTCATTTTTGCCTTTTAAGCTCGCACTAAAATAATGCAGCCTCCTTACCAGGAGAGGGAGCCCGGAGCCGCTCCCTGAGCTCTGGGACTGCTCGATCAAATCCTTCAGGGACTCTCCAGGAGGAATGTAGGTCTCATCCTGCTCCAGCCCGATGCTGTACCGGGGCCTCGTCTCTTGGCGCCTGTATCTGCCGTTTTACATGAAAGTGAAATTAACTCTGAATACAATAAACACGTGCAATGAATAATGCAAATCGTCCTTCACATTTGCTTCATTTATTGACTTACAGCTTCCTTTGCTTCCCTGAGGAATATGCTGGAGTCACTGCCCAGAATTTTCTATTTTATTTTTAGCAGCTGTTTTCAGCATCAAAACTCTAAGCATAAAACTCAAAACACCGTGCAATCTGGTGTAAATTTGCAAAGCAAGCACATGTTTTTCTTTCAGAAACTTAAATATGTTTAAAACATAGACCAAGTAAATAATTTTGACTGCAGTGAGTCTGTTAGGAGAACGAGTAGGTAAGGTCATGGGATTTGGGACTGTTTAAAAAATGTGACAAATTATTGAATGTATGTAGTTTATGATAACATTCTAGACATACTTACATTCCTGTATCTCACTCTTTTTTTATGATCAGTTCTTCACTGCATAAACACATTTACAAGCCTTAGGTTTATTTACACTACATAAAATTTGTCCTGGGGCTTTCTTAGACTCACTAATGAATACTCTGCACTTCTACCTGAATGACTTTTTCGGATGTTGGACAAAAGATGCTATATAAAATACAATGTACAGGTATACTTGTGACTAGCATGAATAAAATACACATTTTTCCTCATGATGAAATTACAGTTTCTCTTTTTTTTTTTACCCTAAAGGTCCACTTCATTTTTTTTCAAAATCCTAAGTCTAAGAAAGATGAATACTGGGAGGAACATTAACAAGCTGGTAAAGTATTCCTTATTTACCTGAAGTAGCAGAATATGATGATAAGCACCAGAAGTATACTGCAAACAGTCACGGAGATCAGCAGGGCCTTATGGTGAATGTTTCCTTCAGCAAAATCTGGGGTTAAAAACAAGGAAGGTGGAAAATTTGGCAAGGGATGTGGCATAAAGTCAGTATGAAAAGGCACACATGCCTTAAAAAGTGCAGCTAGCACAAGTTCATTTCCCTCATTTTGTACTGAAGTCCTATGCAAGATACTCCTGGATTCCCCAGGCATTTTGTGTGCTTCCTCTTTGACCCTCACTGACCAGGGCAGGACCAGCACCACCACAAGCCTGCTTGAATTTTCAGCCCTCACTCAGGCAAAGCATTGCCTTGGTTCGTAATTCCCTGTTTGGCTCTGAATGAAAAACCTATTAAGACCCGTAGCACCGTGTCTTAACCTAAGTGATCAGCCAGGACACACAAAAATTACTGCCTCTATCTTAAATCACTCTTACTAAGTAGTGTCCTATAGAGCAGTTAATATAACAAAGTGAAGACACAGCAGACCATCCGACCTCCAAAGGGGCAGGCCACTAGAGACCTTGAAGGTATATTTCCATCACTGCAGAATAATCTCTCTCAGATCCTGTGTTTTAAACACCTGAGCAGAAACTTTCTCCTCCATTCTCTCAATAGCAGACCTGCGTGCCATCAAGTCCTTCCATGCTAGTGGGCAACGCTATCTCTCCAGCAGCTAGTCTGTAAAACACTTTGAAAATTAAATGTGTCAAATAACTTGCAGAAAACGCTGTTATGTAAAAACTATTAAAATGTTTTGGTCAATCTTCGCATGGAGGCTCATGTTCTCTTAAAGAATACCATTAATCTCTGAATGTGTGTTCTCAACTCAGGCAAGCAAGTCTGACATTCATTCAAGCTCCTCTGCTGAATAAAACAAGACACCAAGCACTACTCTTCTTTAACCTTCCCCACCCCTCAAAGTCTCAAAATTATGGTATTTCAGCTTGCAGATACACACACTGCCCTCCCAAAGTTGTTATCTGGTGTAATGCAAATGAGGACTATGTTTTCTGAAGCTCTCCCAGCCTCCCTGTCTCGCATCATGCAAGCTAATGCCCAACACGTTGTACACCACAAGAAATCCATCCCTATCGACTCATCCTGGAACAGCACTATTACATTTCAGATTTACAAGGGTAATGAGACAAGGAGATTCCTAAGGGACTCTTGGTTTACTATTCAGGCTCTTCTATTTTAAAGATCCAGTTTCTCATCCTGTTCTTGCCCCCCAACTATTTCTTTCCTTCTCCTTTCCCCTGCAAACAGAGATGACGAACCAAGGCACCTTTTGATCACAGTGGTCATGTTTTAACCTGCCATTACCTGCTCTGGGAGCATCAGCAATGTAAACATTTGAGACATGGCCAATGCCTTTGAAAGGGGACACTGACGTGACGTCTATCAGGAAAACACTGGAGCCCATCGTTCTCCCTGCTGCAGCAGACTTCTACCTGGCCTGCCACTCCAAGGGGGCTGTGAGCCGAATCCGAGAGCCCACCAGGGAATCCGGATGTCTGCTGCAGAGGCAATGGCTGCTCAGCAGGGCTAAGGGCTCTAGTTCTTGCTTTGTAAGCAGCCTGTGTCAGCCAGCCACCTCCCTCTAAAATGTGTGGTTTGTACCCTTTTAAGATGTTGCAGCCCGTCAGCCAAAGAGAGCATAAACGGAGCACTCAGGCCATAGAGTGGGATTTTATACTTGGGAGGAACTTTGATATCTGTCTGCAGCAAGAATTGTCCCACTTCACAGAATAAACCACAATAGAAGTTGAGCTTTTATGCTTAGCAATACTGGATGTTGATGTCAGATGCAAAAGGAGCAATTCAGACCTTTCTCACACTTGTGTATGCCAGAGATCAAAGCCATGGAAGTTTGCACATTTACATAGACACCACATGTTGTCCTACCAGAACTTGTAAAGCACCCACAGCTCATGCTGCCTGTGTGTGTCCGCATACATGTGTATGGGAGAGTGATGATAAAGATGCTGAAATCTTAAACAAATTCTGACGATTTTAAATGATCCAAAATCTCTTCTCAATGTTTCTCATGGTCTCCTCCCATTCAGAAGTGTGAACAAACACAGTTTGATTTTCCGAGAGGCCCCCGAAGGCATTTTGGAAGTGCTGTGTAACTCTCAAATGAACTTGATACTCCAAGACTGCCAAATATTCTGGTAGCCAAATGCAATTCTGTAAAGCAAGTGCAAAAAAAACTATGCAAGACATAAAAGAACTTGTCTTGATCTCTGCAGGGAGCAGTGGATGCAGACTGCAGCAGCAATGCTTACGCTCTTGCAGTAGGTAATGTTCCCCATGCTGGCAGTGTCAGCTAACAGAGCTTTAGCAGGAGTTCACTATGAACAGCACGGGCATGCAACTGGTTCTCACAGGAGAAGAGAATAACTTCCATATGTCTTTATATTTATTTGGCTGCGTAGGATGAGAGGCAATACTGACGATAAGTGAGCTATTGTCTCACCTTTCAAACACTTCCTGCATTTTCAAAGCATTTTGGCAGAATTTCATTTGCTTGCTCACTTGAGGACTTCATAAACTCTCTGGCACGTGGACAACACAAGATTAAAAGCATGCCCCCATTCTTACACCAGCAATGTCTGTTCTGATGAACTGAGCCAGGCTGGTGCTGCTGGAGGCCAACTCTTTTCTCCTGCAGCCCATCCTGTTTCCCACAGAGCAGCAGGACAAATCTCCCTTTTCCTGCATCATTTTTGGCATCTCCACGACTAAGCAGAGGGATGGGGCAGCTCCGCTGTGGGTTGCTCAGTCACTGGCTTGTGTGCACCGTGGTGAAGACTGCAGTGGGAATCAGCTGGTGTCAGTTTGTGTGAAGGAGATATTCTGTCCTTCAAGAAGTCCAGTGCTGTGCTTTTTTTGTGTTATGTTACTTGGCAACTGCAACATGCCAAGCAGCAGTGTTATGAGTATAACCAGTAGCTTCCACGGAGGCAGCACTGAGTGATTATCAGGAGCATGGCGGAGGGAGCACAAAACAAACACATGGTAGGTTTAGGAAGCTTCTTCACATACCTTGGCTGGCTGATAATAGCAAAGTCCAGCAAACACCATAAACAGTTTTGTGTTGTACAAAAACAGTGGTGCGTGCTGGTGTCAGCGATGAGCAGCACAGAAAGGCAGACAGCAACAAAAGCAAAGTCTTCGGTGATACCGAGCGGGATCAGCTATTTTCCCATGGTTTCCCCCTCCTCCACCACTCACTCCCCTCATTCTGCCAACTGAGGACTGTGCTGAGGATTGCACTGAAAATGCCACCCAGCAGGTTCAAGGGAGAAGTCAGCATATCAAAAGGAGAGGAGGTTCTCCTCCCTCCCCAGGTCCCTCCAGTTCACAATGTTACAGTCATCCAAGTAAAAACTGCAGTGAAATCTGAGGAGTGGAGACTGTGTGCACACATCAAACCCCATCACTCCTCCAATCATTCCCTTGCCCATTCATCACTAGCTCTACAGGCAGGGAGCCAGACACGGTGGCACCACCACTTCTGCTTATATAGGCTCTAAATCAGTAAAGACATATTTCTCCTTTTGACTGGTCTCAGCCTGTGCTTTCACTGGGATTTCCAGGAATATCTTTTATTGTTTAAAGCAGAGGTGTTGTATCAGACCCAATTATGACTCTCATTTCCTTAATAAGACAGATGGACAGCTGGGACAAGGACTTCATGGTTTCTCTGGGATACTTTATCCTGCTAGTTCTGCCTCAACGTGAGCTCAAGACTTGGGTTTAGCTGTTGTTTCTTCCATCGTGCTTAACAAATCTTGCTTTGACCAGGGTTAGCTCTTCCAGCTCCCACTTTCATGTATGTGGGGAAGGGTAGTGTAAACCCCACTTTCCAGCACACGCCAGGTCTGGAAAAGTACTTTGAGAACACAAGTTGCTTGCCTTTGTAGATGTTACCTTGGTGCATAGGTTCATTTGCAGTTCAACAGCGTCTGACCTGCAGCTGGACACTCTCCCTAGACTCCATTTCCCATGAGACATGACCTCAAACATAAGTTCATCAGAAGCCAAATTTTTGTTTGTTTTTTAAATGCTGAGGAACATACGTATTTTTCATGGAATTCTGGAGGTCAAAAGGTTGTTCCTAGAAGCTTGTTTTTAAGTTAATCTTCTTTTTCTCTGTTCTTACAGTTTATGTTAAATTTGATATACATTTCTAACAGTACTCAGTCAATCACAGCCTAACCTAAATGTTTCCAACAGAAACAATGTTTACAGCCACATTACTGGGTACTGGTAGTAGCATGTATTTGTACCTAGTTGCAGTGAGGATCTACAGTTCAAACTATGGCTTTTCTCTGAGCTTTCATACTAGGATACAGCAATGACAAATTACTACAGGCCTGGCACCAAGAATGATGTATTTACTTAGGCTTTAATAAAGGTGCTGACTTCAGCCCTGTCCAGCCACATTTAATGAAGCAGCTCCTGAAATGTATCTTCACAACATACTATCAGGATGCCGCTAGCGTGAGAGCTTATTTCAAACAAATCTTCAGAATACGTTGTGTGAATAAATTGCCTTTTGTTTGTCATTCTAAAACAGACAACTTTGCAACACAGAGCAGGCAGAATCCTGTTCCAACTCTATGAAATTTTTCTTTAAAAAAATATTCTGCTGTTTAATGGGTCTGCCACCATGGTGTCCAAGTGATGCTTTATTTACCCCATATGCACACAGAGCAAAGCCAACATCGATCCAAACAACTTCTGCCACTACTAAGAGCTTGTTTTATTGCTTTCTATATAAGCAGCAGATAGTATTGCCAAATAACTAAAATCTTAATAAGGCAGATGTCTAGTGTTAGGCATTGGTTCAGTATTTTTAAGTAGTTTTTATGTAGAATAAACTCAGTCAGCAGCAAGAAGGAATCATGGTAGTGTTTTTCAAACTGAAATTGTATTTATTGATATACTAAGTAAGTGTGAACAAATATTGACTTCCTTTTGGAGCTTCTCTCTCTGTCCAAAGAACTTTTTTAAAATTAAAAACCCAATGAAGTAGTACATAACTCTTACATTAGAAGTCAGAAATTTACGAGGTTTCGCTGACTTAATGGCTTGCTAGTAAGCAGTGAAATATTTACATACTACTCTCCACAGACCTGATTCTGCAGCCCATCTGTGCAGAATTTCATAGGCGTGAAGGGAACAGCTTACGTGAGTGAAGGCTTCCTCTGAGCATGCATTTGTGCAAGCATCTTTGTGTAATTAAGAGTGCATCTGCACACTGATCTGGATTTTCAACTTGGAACACCACGATTACAGATTATCCTGAAACTTTGAGCTGACTTTCACAGACTAAACTCCATGCTGACCACACCAAACCTTGGCCATTGCTGCCAATGCCAAGGGTTTATCATGGAATAATTTACACTTACTTAGGAACGCATTTTTACAAAAGGTATTCTGTGACATCTAGCCAAAGGAGTTTTACTGACTTTCAGAAAGTGATGTTTAAACAAGCAAACAAAAAAGCTAAAGCCTTGCCCCAGAGTCTAAATTAATACACATCTATTTGTTCTCAAATAAATTAAAAAAAAAGTACAAATAAAAAATCAGTGCATGAGTTCTTACCCCCTATTCTATTTTCAGCTATATGTTTCAGGTAGAAAATTCACAGCAGTGACTAGTTATAGTCCTAGTACTGGATTATCCAGTCTTTTAAATAGTAAAGTTTAATGGACTTCAGTCAGCTGGAACTGACTGATTAACCACTGGAGACATGGTCCTAGATGTGTGTGGAGTTATGAACAACAGTAATACATGTTGCAGGGACTAGAAAGGGGATTCAATTTTATTATCAGGCTAAAAACATACAAAGCAAGAGGCATCCTCTGCCACAACTAACTTAAGACTTTGGGATGATCACTGATAGCCAGCAGGTCAGAGCTCAGACAATTTCATGTGACTCTAATGTATTTAGTGCTCACTGCATCTATGCAATAGGAGTAGCAGCAAATACCAGCAACCACAGGTCAAAGCAAAGCTCCCCACACTACCTATGGGAATTCAGCAACACTATCTAATGCAGCTTAGTTCTCTAATCAGATGCAGTTGGAAGAGAATCCTTTGGGTTTGTCTTTGTTTACTCCTAGGGCTCAAAGAGCAACAGCAGGAAAAGATCAGTTTGGGACTGGATTGAATTCCCCTTACCTCGATTTTTCAGTGGTGGCAGTGTAGGGTGAAGGTGTTTGTTACAGTAATCTTGTCCTGTACAACATTCAATAGATCTTCTTTGGTGTGGAATAGGAGTGTCCTGCAATGAACAATTTGATAGAAAGCAAAGTAATTATCTGTGTTATTAAATATATGCCATCATTCTGGCACCTCAGAGAAATGTTTGTTGGTTTGACTGCAGGCCATTACAGATTTCTAGGATGTAGGGAGTAAGGAATTCTGCTACCGAGCACACCCAGCAACATTTCATCTAGATAATTAGGAGATTAATTCACCCCTAACATATTTCTCTTGATGCTCTAGTGCTGCACAAGGGACTGATTGACTCTAATGGTGCAAGACGGAACTGTGAAAGTCACATCCATCCATCAGAATTATATTACAAAAATAAGTTAACGTGGGCATTCAAAACAGTTTAGCCAGAATAATATGGGAATTGCTGGGGGGGCTAATTTAGCAGCTGCTTCTGCTTGCATGGGAAGATGGGTAAAACACCTTCCATGGACTTTGATGGTTAGACTGTTCCTACACTCATGTAAAATCATTTAAGGCTAATACTAGGAAAGGCAAACACTTTAGAGCGAGCCAAGTTGCTCCACTGTCCATACCCCTTCCACTCTTGCAGTGAGATCTGCTCTCCAAGAGGTGAACCCTGTACTTGAAATTTCTGACACCAGAAATCCAAAACTAAAGTGAAATTGCATGTAAGACATAAAGATCCTAACTAACTTTAGCTACCATGGAGACTTCAGGAATTAAAATTTAAACTTCCTCCAAGCGGGAATGATACTAGCAACAGCAGTGCCAAAATCAAAAACTTAACTTATTGTTAGAGGCAGCTATAATACCACCATTTAGGGATATAAATGCACTCCCCTGAGCAATCAATGTGGAGCAACTATCTGCCAAATGAACAGAAGTAAAAAACATGGACACAGTAATGTCTGTTGACTGCACTTCAATTGAAAGCTATCAAAAAGCCAAGCAACACTATGGCAGCAAATGCTTTCTTACCCGACACTGGAAGTCTGAGCCCTCTAATCCAAGACATCCCTTGGTGACTAAATGTCCACCAGACTCATCTTCTTCTATTATGGTGAAGCAGTAGCCATCAGTGCTGAGGATTTGAAAGGATGAATCAGGAAAAGGCTCTGAAGTGAAAAATGTGCTGCTGAATACAGTATTAAACTTTGTTCCTTGCAAGGTAAGGCAGGCTAGAAGACTCAGGCACCCAATCTCTTGCAGTGCAGTCCAACAGCACACAGCACTGTGGACCAGCTCTTGCACACACAAAGGAGGCTCTGCCTTGGACTTGACACGCCTACCTTTCCAACATTTCACAGCTATAAGTGTCACTAACAAGCATCTCAACCCTCTGCCTATTGTCATGAGCATGTTTGACTTTGGAGACCTATACAAATGCAGACATCAACACTACAGCAGGTCTGCCTTGTGCTTTGGAACAAGGCATGGGTATTTGCACCACAGCGAAGACCTGCAGAAAGAAACATTTTTGACGTAAAATATTATCAAAAGTGATTTGTGATTCCTGTATTAACCATATTACAAGCTGCAACACTCTTGTGTACGAGTCCTTGAGTTATCATCAACACTCTTCATAACTGTTTACTTGGGTTATAAGCCTAAAGTGATCCATAATGCTTCCATTTACAAGAATGTGCACCACGGAGGGCAAGTATACTAACAGATGCCTAGATGGTGCTGGTGATAAATGTCCTTCCTTGATGAAGGTCAAATGTCTGAATGCTGTGGTAAGAGAAGGAGGAGGGCACAGAAAGGGTGGCTGCATTTTACTGAGGCTGCTGTACATTAATTTCTCAGAACTCTGAGGGAGATACGTATTGTGTGTAAGAAACACAAATTGATTGATTTGCAGGAAGACGATTCAAAAACAAAGAAAAACCTCTTCAATATAAGACATTTAAGTCACATAAAAATAAAGTATTCTGTTATTTCCTCAGGAAAATAACACTGGTTATTACATGCAATGAGTATTTTTCAGAGACGAGAAACAAACTCGGTTAAATCAAGGAAATAAAAAGAAAAAAAGATTAGAAAATTTAAACACAGCAGAATTTCGGTGATTTGCTCCTTACTTGAATGAAAGGAAAGCCTGAGCAACAACAGGAAAGGCAATGAAGATGTAGGAAACGAGAGGCACAGTTACACATAGAAGGGAGAAACACAATTTGTAAGTATTAGCTACATGACAGAGATATGCTGGATAGGATCATGTCAAACATTTGCTGTGGCATATTTTTGTATTAGTGGTGCAGGGTCTAGCCACAGTAAGCTTATTACTTCTAATAATAATCTATCATGGGTTATTGACTTCTGGATTTGAAAAGTAGCCAGCTGCATGTTACAAATGACCTTCTCAGAGAAGCGAGCAATGACTTCTACCCTTCTTTGACACTGTGCATATGAGTAAGGCAAAGAAGACAGCAACGCTTCTGGGCAACAACCACCTTGATTTCATTGCTTGAGCTTAAAAAATAGGAACAATAGGATTGCCAAGAAGAGAGACTGTAAGGAATCCATCAGAGAAGAATATTATATTAGATTAGATTTTATTTGTTTGCATGGTGCCTTTGATTCAAAGTAATGAGTAAGTTTAACCCAGGGGACAGAGCAACGAAACAATAAATCGTAATCAAGTAAAACACAAAAATGAACTCCAGAGCTAACAGTCCCCAGCAAAAACCAAAATGCTCAGTTCACCAAAGGAAAGCAAGGGAAGGAAAAGCCAAATTGTTTGCAAAAGGGAAAAAAAGAAGCAGGAAAGTCAGCAGTTTTGTTTCTTTTTTTTTTTTCTCTGACCTGCCATGGGACTCTGATTCTTAGCTTATTTCTGAAAATTAAATTCAGGCTCCTCAAATACTTTAGTCCATCTGAAAATTTTACTCCAGATTTAAAAAGACAAACAAAACTAGATTGGACAGAGTAAAATGAGAAAATTATAAAGTCAAACAGTAAGGATAAAACACGGTCTTTACAGACAATGGTAATGAAGGAAAAGTGTGAGGCAATTAAAAATAGCAATGCTGAGCAGAATAAACATAGGTATCACTAATGTTTATTCTCTACCTCTAAGGAAAAAAAAAAAAAAAAACAAACAAAACCCACCTGAAACTACAAAATAAAACCAAAATATTTTCATGCAATGTAAGAACTTGTTATCTTATTGACAGTTTCTCAGGTGTTTGGGTGAGAGGTAAGAAGTGACTCTTTTGAAAAGAACAAACAATCTCTTACCTGCTTCCCCCCTCCCACCCCTGACCTCTTCTTCTCTTGGTTCACAGGATGTCAGATTGACCACACACTGCAAGTAAAGGGCAGGACATACCACTGCTCTGTTATTGATTACCCTACCTCCTATCTGCCTATGGTAGAAATGACACTGTTCTTAGTATTATAACAGGTCAGAAATAAGTCTGATAAGCCTGCACCATCTCCAATTCCATGTTTATTTTGGAGACTGCACAAATAGAAACATATGAACATGGCTGATATGTGCAAAGCAATACGAAAAACCTGTTCTCTACTTCCTAGCAAAAATTTATGGTATAGAATCATTATTTTCTTAAATGCTGTAATTTGAAACCTGTTTAATTTGAATCTGTGAATGGTGTGTAAAAAAAGAACTCAATCTGATGTTACTGAATAGTTCCAGGAACGTATCCAAAAACCTTCTGCACTAAACCATCATCTTATTAGAGTATGGTGCAGGAGAGTGATTAAATACATTTTAGATGTGATCACTAATAAGCACGGATTGGGTATGCCACATATTTGTGAAAAGTGAACTTTTACTGCCAAGTCAAATGCCAGGGAAATAAAAGGGAGTTAACAGCAGAAACACTGACAGACACTGATGTAGAAGGTTCTGACACAAGTACAGATTACCAGAGGTGATCTTACCCAAGACCTTTACTAAATGTCAGAAGAGAAGAACAGAGGCCAACAGCTTTGCAGTCACTCACACAAATATCCTCATTAGCCACCAGCCATTTGTCCCAGAAGATGTCATACCTCAGCTACCAAAACTTGCCTGCTTAAGTTTTCCTGTCCTGCTCTGTATGTGTGTGACAGGGCCAGGAACAGCAATATAATCTGGAAAAGCAATGTCTTTCCCTCATTCAGTGCCCATCACAAACAGATATGGATTAAATAACTCGATTAAAAGATACCTTATATTTAATTTGCAATTAAGTCTGAAAGCGTGTTATTATTTTTGCCCACTCCTTTGTACTCCCAGTTTTGACATCAGAAAGAGCCTAAGCACCTTTTCAGTTCCATCCAAAATAACATGACAAGTTTCTGCACTGCTTTCAAAAATGGCCAATAAACGTTAGATTAGATGATGTATTAAACTTCTGGGAAGCTCACAGTCTTCTGTAAAGAGTGGCTGAAATAATCTAATTTGAAAATTGGCTGACTCCAAATTTGCATCTAATTTACATATTTGTCACATCCTTCACTTAAGGAAGATGATCAAGGCCAAACTTAGCAAAACACTGTCTTTGGACACTATCCATAAAATAAAGAGTCACTGTAAATATATTCAACACAAGCTAATTTTTCAGAAAATAAAGTAGCAGCTGTGCATGAGGGAAGTAACATGAGACCAAGAGTGAAGACCTTCATACAGTTGTTGAGCCAGATGCATCTCTGTATGTTTGCACAGCTACTCTGAAGGCAAGGAGAGACATACAAGGGAAACAAAGCAAAGAAGGTGGCTCACAGCAGGCCACAGTTTCTGGCCACCCTAGCCTCCAAGATGGTGATGCTGGTCCTACTATGCTGTGTATGGTACCTTGAGGTTCTCTGAGTGTTCAATGTTGACCCTACAGGCAAAGAGAAAGGAGAGCACCCAACACACCCGTGCAGAGCATCTTTCCATATACTGTATATAGTTCTAAGTATTTTCTTTATACTACCTGCCTATACTATTCTCCCAGGACTGAGACATGATCCGGCCTACCAAATGTGTCTTGCATTGTTCTACTAAATCACAGAGCAGATCAAACAGTTTCCCCTGCCATATGGGGTCACAATGCAGAAAACAAGCTCTTGTGCCAATTTTTGAAGGAGAGCCCTAGAAAATGTCTGGGTTTCATGCTCAGTATATGAGATCTGACAGGTCTAGAGACCTAATAGCACAACTTTGGGTATGGCAATAGCATTAACCATGGGTACCTCTACATTTTCACCAGGGCTCTCTAGCACCTTTCACTTATTGTGCAAAATCCATCTCAGTAGATGTAAGAACTATCAAGAAGCAAACAGTCAGAATAAAACTACACATTTTCCTCTTTTCCTTTTCCCTTTTCCTTTTATCCCTTTCCTTTGCCTCCAAAATTTAAACACAGACCAAATGTTTTCTTTTACTTGACCTTAAGATTACACTGCAGTTGAACTCATATGATGTAGCTTCTTTAACGTTAGAACAGACTTACATGGATATTTACTGGTTTCTATTTTTTTTTTTGGTGTAAGTAAATCCAATATACAAGGGAAGTCTTAGGTATTCCAGCAGTTTCTGCACAGTAACATCAAAATATGTCCCCACACTAAAAAACTACCTGAAAGTAATGCAACAGGTCTCAATACAGGCAAACTGGACCTGCAGCTGGACTATTTAGCTTAAGATTTATATTAAAAGCCTACTGGGTAAGCCCTGAATGGAACTAAGAACAAGGAATTTCTGGGGCACAGTTGAAAAGTGTGGGAGGGGAGTTTGTGCTTCTGTTTAAATACAAAGGAACGTGCTGAGCCACGTGAGACCAACAGCCCTCACACCATAGGTGAGCAAAGACTAGAGCTTACAAGAATTTCTCTCTGTTGATCTTTGTTTTCTTGTTTTAATCCTCAAAGGGGACTTAACTGCCTCTGGTACCACCCTGTACGAAAGACTATATTAAAAAATAAAAAGAAATATTAAAAAAAAAGGAAAGGCTAGCTTGTAAGATCTCACCATAGGTCCTTTATCAGGAAATGTTTAATTTTACCCTAGAAATTAAAGTTGTTTAAAAGAAAAGTTATCTGAACACAGCACTTTGGTCCACTGTTGAAGTCTTCTTCCTTCTCCATAGC